CTCCCTCCCTCCCTTCCTCTCTCTTTCTTTTTCTTTTCTTCTTTTTTCTTTTCTTTCTTTCTTCCCCCCTTCCTTTCCCCTTCCTTCCTTCCTTCCTTCTTTTCATTCTTTTCTCTCTCTTTCTCTCCATGAGGATTTTAAAATCGCACAGATTACAGCAGTGATCCAAGTTACCTCTCTCTCCCAACACATGGGTCAAAAGGGAGCAGAGAAACAATATTCTCTTATCCAGGTGGCCTCATCTTTTGATACTCTTGGTGTAATGAGTTTGAAGACGCTGTCAGGAGGTTCTCTCGGGAGAATGCTGGAGATTATAGGAGTGGCCCAAGTAATGAGTCAGGGCCACAGAGAGAATTAAGACAAGGCAGGGCATCCCCTACAGCTGGCATTCAGACTCCATGCCTTCTGGAGCTCTGTGTCCCATTTTTTATTTCTTTATTTGATGCCTGATTGGCCCAAACCCCACTTGGAAGAAGATACTTGTTCCACTTTTGACTCTCCACATATGTCAATGCCATGTCCTGGGCAGGCTCTTTCTCCGCTCTAGGTTGAATCTCCCAGAGGAGAATGAATTGAAATGATCGCTGAGCTCTGCAGCCCTGGTGTTGCACAGACTCCAGTTTGTGTGGAGCCTTCTGAGGCGCTGATTGGGTCTCTGGGGATGGGGGAGTGGGCTGCGGGGAGTGGGTGGGGAGCTCTGAGCAGCTACTTGTGCTTTGCATACTCCTGGACTCTGCACATGGAACAGAAACACCAGAATGCTCCCCTCTTTCTGATTTTCAGAATGCATTCATTTGAAATCTGGCTAAATCTGCATTTCAGTCAGATGGTTTCCAGATCTCAAATAGAAACACCTCATTAATCATTAATTTAGACCCCCACGGTTATACAGAATTTGTGACAATTTGTTTATCTTTGAAGGAGCTGCTGAGAAAGAGTTTAACAAGGAAATTATTGTGGAGGGGAGGAGAATGTTTAACCTTTCAGAAGAACGGCACTCCATTTAGCTTCCCTGAGGGTACAAATGGGGGTGTGTGCAAAATACATGCCGGCTTTTATCTGTTCCCCTAAGTAGGGTGAGCACTTCCTCATCTGCGAACCCAGGGCCAGTGGGATAGATCCCCAACCATTTCAAGCCTGCGACCCCTTTCCAATGTCAAAATATTTTCTATAACACCCCCACCCCCGGTTATTAGAAGTTGCAATTTTTAGTGTTGCTGATTAAGAAGAAAAGCTACTCTGAATTCAGTAAAGCTTTTAAATAAATCATGATAGCATCTACATACACATGAAAAATAGTTCCGTCTTTCTGAGTCACAGCGTTCATTCAGCCTACAGATGATGTTTGGGTGCTCATGATTTCCAGCTCCTCCGCACCCTTCAAGGTCAGCGACCCAGCAGGTTACAACCCTTGGAACAGAAGTTCTCTGAGTCCTGGAGTGCCCGGACAGGAAGGAACCTCAGGAGGCATTTCAGCCACTCCCACCAGAAAGGTTGTCTGCCCTCTGAGGAGCCCCTTGTTGGGGATCCCTAGTTTAGTGAAGCAAAGGAGTTGGCATCCCATGTAGGCACATACCTGCCATAGCTGCCACCTCAGGGGCCTGGATCAAAGTCTGCAAACTCATTCCTTACGGTCCCTTACCAGGTGGTCTAGGCCCAGCATCCCACAGTGGGAATGGCATGTGATGACTGCATCACTCTGGGCAGAAGTAGCTGACACCCCATAGGAGACAGAAGAAGCAAGGGCCAGTCTTCTGTGGCTTGTGGGCCCAGAGTTCAGGGTTTTCTTGGCTCATTCCCCCCCAGGTCCACACCAGACATCTTTTTTCCCTTTCTTCTTGGCAGGAGGGAGTAGGGAAACGAAGTAGACGGGCAAAGAACGTCAATGATGAAGGATAAGGGAACAGGGAGGGCATTCCCTTTAAAGCAGTCCAGATCTGGGGTCCCTGGGTCCAAGGATGGGCCCGGGGGCCTAAGGACACCCTGCAATTATAGCCAATTTTGCACTTGTGGGCATTTTTCTGGGGAGAGCATCTATACCTTTCCCTGGATTCTCAGAGCAGTCCCTGAGTCAGAAAACGTTCAGAACCCCTGGCCTGGAATTTGGACTTTTCCCTGACTCAGGCTTCCCACTCTCCTGTTACTCAGAACCAGTGAACTGTTACAGTGTTAGTCAAAGCCTACAAAGTGAAATATCAAATGCTCATTACCCACGACAATGGGAAACTAAGTAGATGCCAGGAACACGGTCTGATCACAGACGCAGCCTCCTTTGTTCTTCCGTGCAGGGTCCGCGATGGCGCTCTCCCTGACGGGGCTCGTTGCCTTCTCCTTCCTGCAAGCCACCCTTGCCCTGAACCCTGAGGACCCCAACGTGTGCAGCCACTGGGAGAGGTAAGGCGTGGGCCTCAGATGGCCAGGCACTCTCTGGGGGATCGCCCTGGGCATGGCAGTAAGGGACAGAGGCAGTCAGGAGATCTGGGAGCTGCCCTCTAAGGGTCTGCAACCTGGCTGGGGAGATGGCCCAGATGCGGAGAGACAGGACAGAGCAGTGTAGATTCTGTCTGGAAGGTCAGGGTGGAGGCAACTTACATTAACTGCAGTTACGACGCACTGTCCTACCCCTCCCTGCACTGGCACTTCCCAGCCATTGCACAGATGAGAAAGTAGAGACCCAGAGGGGCTCAGTCCCTGTCCACAGCCAGATAGGGTGCAGTAAGTGGGGAGATGCGGACCGTGGTCCCAGGTGGCACGCTCTCTGATGCTGTGATGCCTTTCGTGGTCTCCCAGGACTGGCAGCCATGTGGCAGCTTGGATATGTGGCCCCAGCAGCCTGCCTTGAGGAGGACGGGTGAGGGGTCCTATTACTTCCGGTCTGGTGGGAGCAGGGTGTTGCCGGGGGAGGGCGGCCGAGGCTGCAGTGGAAGAGCCGGCTGCATTCCAGCTGCGGCACTAGGGTCCTAGGGGAACAGGCCGGGTCCCTGCAGACGGCCTGACTTTGAAGCACAAGGTTAAAGTATTGATTTTAGTGAGCAGAAAGATAGTGACCAGAGACCCAATCAGGAAAAACCGAATTAAACCCTGGAATTGATTGGCCATGCTGACCAGGACGACTCTGCCACTTAGATGTTAATAAATCAAATGAATAAAATTAAGATGAGGGCCCAATGGGAGAAGTGAATGGTAGAGGAAGAAAGGTGGGGGACTTGGAGGGGGGTCAATGCTTCATGCCCATGAGGGTAGATAGCCCAGCCCTAGGGCGGGGAAAGGCACCTCAGTCAGGCAGGACCTGGCTCTGGGGTAGCCTGGACACTTGCGGGTCAGGAAGGATCAGCTGGGGGGCAGAGGGACAGTGTCTGCACTTGTGTGATCCCTGGGGACCAGATCCTGTGTGTGGCATCCCAACAAAGTTGGGGATGGAGCAAAAGGCAGTACTGTGGTGTGCCTGTTTTTGGTGAAGTGGGAAGAAAACAAGATCCGTGATGAGAAGACCTCAGTTCATTCCGATCTGGATTTTTCCACCTATAAGCTATGTGACTCTGGGGAAGTCTCTGAACGGCTCTGTGCCTACTTCCACCTCTGTAAAGTAGGGAGAATCATTATCCTTGCCTCACAGGCTCATTGGAGGATCAAGGGCAGCAGTTCCACGAAAGTGCTTTGAGGACCACAAGTGTCAGTTGCTGTCTTTTCTTGTTGACAACTGTGGCTTTGCAGGAACTGGTTATCATGGACTTTAGTGCACATCAGACTCATGGGAGGTGCATATGAAAAAGTCTCCTGGGGCCTTTCCCCGAGATGCTGATTCAATAGTGCATTTTTCATAAGCATTCTACGTGATTCTGAGGTTACTCAGGCCCCTTGCCCATTCTGGCTTTGGTGAATTTAAACCTTTATTTCCCGGTGGGTCAGAGAGGTATTGGGAAGAGCCCCACGTTATTCTGTGGGTTTTGGACTCCAGTCTCAGAGGACCCCTTTCATCTCTCTGGTCCTGTTAAGACACAGCTGCTTCCTGCTACTGTCTGTGCTGCATCACAGCCTCTCAAGTGCCTCCTTTGCAGCTGCTCACCTCTGCCTGCCCCAGTGGCTCTATCTGGAGTCCCTCTCTTCCAGGGAGCGTCCCCCACAGGGAGGGCCCCCTCTGACTTCTCTCTCTGTCTGAGCCCCATTTGTACTCACTAATTTTCTACACCTGCCCAACATGAATACATTTGGAATGTGAAAATATTCTGAACTGAACCGAACTGAGCTGGCATTTCAGGCTTCTTAGGCTATCAGCCAAGGTTACAGCCCGGATAGGAAGACAAGGAGTGAAACCTAACAGCTAGAATGAGGTCTGGGGACTCTCTGGGCTTCTCCGGCCCCAAGGGGGAAGCCCTGTGGGTGATGCCTGGTGACACCAGGTGCTTTCTTCTTCTCAGTCTTTCCAGCTGAGCTCCGTTGTAAGTTATGTGTGGATGGATCTAGCCTGTGTTGTTCCAGAAACACACCGTGGTCCCTGGAGATCGCTTAGGGAGAATTTCTCAGCTGGATTAGTGCTTCTGGCGGCTCCTCATTAATTATGCCCCTCCACCATAAAACCCAGTGTAACGACCTCTCCCGGCTAGTAAAGCCTGGCTCTCCAAGATTAATCTGGCCCCTCATTAGCATGTTGGCAAATGAGCAGTGTTAAGCCACCCAGCCATGAAACCAGGGGCACACACTTCAGGTCAGAGAACCTGGAGTTGGTACAAGGCATTGTTGCCAGACTCGTTCAGCCCAGGGCATCCTGCAGAGCCCAGTCCCTGCCCCGTGACTGCCCCCTCCAGCCCCCTGCTGAGCTTCTCTCTGGGCATCCAAGGTCTATGTTACGGCCGAAAAGGGAGGCTGGACCCCCAAGTACATAACAAAGGTGGAGAATCCATTCTGTGTGCTGGTCTTGCTCCTTCTCTCCCCAACATTGGTCAGGGAGGAAAGATCCCTCAGTGCCTAGCACGAGAGGTGAATCATTGCCTGTCAACATCTATTAAACACTTACTGTTTAAGCATGTTACATGTATAGTGTATCTTGTTTTATTTTCCCACTGCCCTGAGAGATAGAAAATATTACTGTCCTCCTTTAATCCTCACAATAACCACACAACCTGGTTAGACTTACAGGTGAGAAAACAGAGGCTTATATGAATCAAATAACACATCTAAGGGCATGCTGCTAACAGGCAACAGGCTTCAAACTTGCCCCTTCTCCTGCTGCCGTGTTTGGATTCCAGGGCCCGTGCACGCTCCCCATTCATCCTCTTGCTCTGAGTGAGGTATCCAGGAGATGTGTTAGAGCAAAGAATCATGCGATCCCAGAGTTGGAAGAGGACTCTGGGCGGCCGGGGTGAGGGGCGAGTTGCCTCAGTTTCCCCAAGCCTGGAGATAAAACAGGGTTTGGGCTGTTTTTTCCTAGATGTGTGCCTCTGAGGCACATCTCAGGTATGCCAGCTAGTGGGGGCACACCGAGAGCCCTCCTTACATCCCCAGTGCTTCAGAGAAACAGAATTTCCCACCATCCAGGCCTCTGAGCATTGTTGACTGCTTCTGGCCTCCTCCTTCTGGATGCCAGACCTTTGACTTTTCAGGCATCAGAGAGCCTACTGTGGACCCACTTGGGGAGCTGGCCTGCCCAGCCCCCTTGCAAGTTAATCAACGCAGTTTCCTCAGGCGAGGCAGACGTGCTTTTACAGCCTGGACCCGGCCATCTGGCCCAGGTCAGTGAGCCTTCTGGGAAAAACACTGAATAATACCAACCTACATAGAAATTAATTCCTTAGATCTCAGCTGAGGTCCTCTCTCCAGCCTGTTTAGGAAACGTGAGTCCTCACTTTAGCATCCTGGCTTGAATGCCATTTCATGCAACCCCCTGCCAGGGGCCGGCAGGTAGAAAGGCTTATTTTGGTTAAGCTGAGATCTGCTTCCCTGTGGCTTCCACCTGCTGGTCCAGGTTTACAGCTAACAGGCAGGATGACAAGAAACCACTTCTATCAGGGACATATCCTCAATGTACCCCCAGCTATACTAGAGGCAGAATAGAGTAGAAGGTAACTGGGGGAGCTTGTGGAAGCCACGTATGCCCCCGATGCTCAGTTTCCTAGTCTGTAATGTGAGAACAATTCCGCCTACCTAAGATTGTGAGGAATAAAATGTATTAAAACACTTGACACAGGGTGCTCAATAAATGTTAGCGCCTATTGATACTGCAGTGTGGGCTGGGCAAGTCACTTTTCTCTGAGCCTTAGTTTCCTCCTCTATGAAATGGGGCCACTTACTTCACAGAGTTGCTGCAAAGTCCAGCTTCCAAGCATGCTCTTTGAAAACCATAAAGATATGAACAAACACATAAAGTATTTTTAAACTTGTTGGCTCTGCCTTCCAGAGCCACATAGAAGAAAACTACCCCCTGCTTCTTTATTCATTCTCTGTTAAATGAACAAATGAACTTGAATTTTAGAAAATGATCTGGGCCGAAGGTCCATAAGGGATATGTCCTGGGGCCAACCTGGAGTCGGTGAGGCTGGAATATGAGGGCATTCAGGGAAGGGGGAGGATAGTTGGGAGTGGGGAGGTCAGAGCCTCCGGACACTTGGCTGTGGAGCTTGGCCTCAGGGCTGTGGGCTCAGATGCCCCGCGGAATATCAGCTCAACTTCCCAAGCGCTAATCATGGCTCCCATCTCCCATCTGGTTCTCAGCTACGCTGTGACTGTCCAGGAATCGTATGCACACCCCTTCGATCAGATCTATTACACACGATGCACAGACATCCTCAACTGGTTCAAGTGCACCAGGCACCGGTGAGTACCTCTCTCAGATGACAGGGCAGGGAAAAGTCACTGGGCTCTCAGGGCTTGCCTCTGTGCAAAATAGAAAAAGGCCATTGGAGCAGATGCTGTCATGCGCCTCCACTCTGAACCATCCACCCAAGCCATCCACCCAAGATGCTCTGCTGATGGCTTGTTTCTGGCCGAAAGAGCTTGTGGGTAGGACAGGCCAGAAGTGCTGGAGAGTTAATGCTTTTGAGGGCATCCCTCAGCCAGGGATGGGGAGATGGGGAGTTGGCAGATAACTACCCCAACTTCCTCACTCTTGGGATGGCAGAAACATCTCTTAGCCACGTTCTACATGTATCCTAGAAGTCTCCAGTTGCCCACAGAAGTAACCTGCTCAATAATATACCGTAGATTGGCTGCCTTTACTTCCCTGTCTCACTTTTCTATCCTCCTACCAGTACTTCCTAGGATTGCCTCCAAAATAAACTACTTGTTCTTGAATCCTTTTCTCAGGGTCTGCATTTGGGGGAAAACTCAACCTAAGAGAGTCCCCTGCCCTGAGCAGATGTAGCCCCATATCAGGGCATCCAGCTTGAAGAAGGGAGTGCAGGCTAGAATTCAGCAACCTCACAGCACCTTGGCCAGGCTTCCCTTAGCAGTGCTCAACATGAACAACTGCACATGGCAGTCCTGCACCCTTGTCTGCAGCCCTCCTGCAGATCATATGTTATCATGTCACTCAGGGAAAGGCAAGAGGAAGGAAGAAACAACATGCTTTAAGGGATGACCCTGAGAAAGACACTTTATTTTGGGATTCCCAGTGCACTCATCAAACTTAATAATC